ATTTTAGATTTAATTAATATTTTGTATAATTTTTAGTTTTATATCTTATTTATTTAGCTTAATATAAATTTTCAAAAAGTGTCCACAATGCTTTGGTAGCCCCTGTATATATATGATCAAATCTAATTCATACCGGGGAATATTAATATCTAGGGTGCTATATCTCAAAAAATAGAGGTCAGATATACTAAGTAAAAATGCTCAAAGCACCCCAAAACCTTATATAATCTAAAAATTAAACTATTATATAAAGCTTTTCTATAGATTCCAAAACTCATACCCTAATCTAAATTTTTGTTCCAGAATACTATATCTCAATAACTAAATAAGAAATAGGGGTCAGATATACTAAGTAAAAATAATCAGAACACCCCAAAACCTTGTGTAATCTAAAATTAAACTACTATATAAAACTCTTTTATAGGTCCCAAAACCCATACCCTAACTCTAAATAGCAAAAAACTATTATAAAATAGGGGTGGATACTAATATCTATCAGTATAATATTAATATTTACCATATATATATAGTATATATTGTATTATAAATTGAGATTTATATTACCTCCGGCTGTGAGTTTCTCTACAGCTACCAATCCAAATTGGATAAACTTTTTACCAGAGATAGGAGTGATACTGGGCTACAACATATTAAAATTTCAGCCTATTTGGATATGTAGTTCTTGAAAAATTTCTTAAAAACTATAAGTAATTTTTTAATATAATTACTTATAGTTTCTAAGCAATTTCTTAAGAACTATTAATCCAAATTGGCTAAAATTTTAATATGTTGTAGCCCAATATCACTTCTATCTCCGGTAAAATTTTTATCCAATTTGGATTGGTAGGTGTAGAGAAAATTACAGCAGGAGGTAATATAAATCTCAATTTATAATATAATATATATATATAGCATATATTGTATTATAAATTGAGATTTATATTACCTCTGGCTGTGATTTTCTCCACAACTACCAATCCAAATTGGATGAAATTTTTACCGAAGATATAAGTGATATAGGGCTACAACATATTAAAATTTCAGCCAATTTGGATTAGTAGTTCTTGAAAAATTTCTTAGAAACTATAAGTAATTATATTAAAAAAATTACTTATAGTTTTTAAGCAATTTCTCAAGAACTACTAATCCAAATTGGCTGAAATTTTATTATATCGTAGCCCAATATTACTTTTATCTCTGGTAAAAATTTCATCCAATTTGGTTTAGTAGTTATAGAGAAAATCATAGCCGGAGGTTAATAAAAATATGATTTTTATATTTTTAATTGAAAAAATTTTATATAGTTTTATTATTGGGCAATTTTGATTGGCTAACAATACTATATTATATAGCACCTGATAACCTCTCTAACCCCCTCCCTCTAAAATATTAGTCTATACTCTTAGAGTTAAGAAGATTTTTATAGGTAAAATCACCCTCTCTACATTTTTTGTTAGTAACTCAAGACAGGTTTAGACACTCATTTTTTGTATTTTCAGCTTTGGTTGCTTTTTTTCATTTTATGAAAATTTCACAATTTGATTGGTTAATTCATGTAAATCTTTCAAATAAGGAAATCAAAAAACGGTTTGATAATAGTGGTCAATAAATTAACTTACTTCTTTTAAAAAATCAAAATTGGTTTCCTTCAAACTGGTCAACATCTTGAGTGCAATGATGCTGGATGGTTTATGTGCTCTTATATAATTCTGTAATTATATAATCAACTTTTCGTATACCATCCAACCAGGTTTCCAAATATACAAACCCAAATCCGCCTTTATTGATTTTTTTTCATAACTCCAGAATCTAAGTTGGAATTCTTTCATCCAATTATCAATATTTTTATTTCCACTTTCTACTAGTATTACGTTTATTGATAAATTTTTTATTTGATATATTTGTCACATAATAATTAAAAATTTTTGTAATCTACATATATATGTATCTTTTTTTTACTCTTTTTTTTAGATCTAATCTATTTTTTTTTATCACTGCTATTGTTTTACTCTTTTTTTTTAGATTTAATCTATTTTTTTTATAGCTGCTGTTGATGTCTTTAGATATTTCAGTTGCAGTTGTTATATACTAATGCTTCCTTTCGTATGTTGGTGCTTTTATTCATATGCTAGTGCCATTAGGAGTCATTGTATGTTGGTGCTTTCATTCGTTGTCATATGTTGGTGCTTTCATTCATATTCTGTGCTTTCGTTCATATGCTGGTGTTATCATATGTTAGTGCCATTAATATTAATGGAATTGTCATATATTGATGCTTTGTTTATACACTGGTGTCAGCGTCGCCGTTATTTTCGCATTGTTATTTTGGTATCACTGCTAATCTTGTTCATGGGCATTACTTTTTTTTTTTTGTTTGTGTCATTTTATTTGTTTCGGGTTGTTTTATTATTTTGTTTCTTACTAACTTCTATTTGTTTCTTTTTGTTATTATCACTTCGTTCTATTAGGTTGGTGTCCTCTTTGTTTGTATTATTGCTGGTTTCGTCATTTGTTGTATTGTTTTATTTATTTCATATTTACGAACTATTGTTTATTTACTTTTATTGTTTTTTAGTTGCTTTAGTATTGTTATTACTGAAATCTCTGTTCTAGTACCACTGTTGTTTTGGTACCTTTATGAATGGAGTATATCTGTCCATTGTCATGTGTGAATTTTTGTAAGTATGACTTTGGTGATTTAGATAGGATTAGAGTCCGTTAATACATATTTGTTATTAAGGTTAAAGTTAGTAGATGGGTTGAAGCTAGAGTAAAGTTAGTAGTTAGGGTAATGGTTGAAATATGATTAGTAGATTAGCAAAGTAATTATGTTATAACCGTAATTAGATTCATTCTAAAGAGGTAATATTGTAAAAAAATTTTAAATAAAAATTTTAATAAATAAAAAGTTTAATAAATTAAATTTGCAATATTTTATAATTGTTATTATATATATAGCTAAGTGTTTTGTTAACTGTTAATTTTACATTATGCTACTTTTAATAGTATAATATTGTACATAATTTCACAATTTTTAATGCAATTTATTTTAATTATTTCGAAATACTGCAAAATTATTTCAAAATATTACACAATTTTTTGAAGATATTGTGCAATATTTTGAAATAAATTTTGTAATATTTTGAAGAATTAATATAACTATAACCAGTGGTGATCATTACCAGAGTTCCTATATCTCAAAAATGTACTAAGTAAATAGGATCGGGTTCTCTAAGTAAAAATATTCAGGACTCCCAAAAACCTCATAAAAACTAAAATCGGGCTCTATCGGGCCCTTATAATAGCTCTATATTATATTATATAAAAAAAAAATAATTCTCTAATTTTTAACCCTAACCCTAAATATATCTAGAGGTGGTGACGATCACCATGAGTTATTTTGATTTTAATTCTATTTTGAAATAAATTTCGAAATATTTCAAAATAAATTTTAGAATATTTTGAAATTAAAAATTCTAAAATATTCCATGTCGATCATAATTCTTTCAAAATATTTCAGGGCATAATAACTTTCATAAGTTTATACTTTTATATTTTGCTGATGTTAGATTAAATTAAGTTTATTTAAATTATGTAAGTGTTATAAATATATGATATTAATTATTTTTAAAAATTAAATCAAATCAATTTGAAATAAATAAAATATTTTTAATTCATATATAATGTTTAAAATTATTTGTATTTAGATTAATTGTATAATTAATAATATACAATCACATGAAATCAGCCAAGTAATTTTTACTATAAATAGAATATAATTAAATTGACAATTCAACATTGTTTTGACAATTTAATATCACTACTATTTGCTTTTGTTTGTATTATCTTGAGTTAAATCAATTAGTGATAGTACTCAATCAAAAAAATACTACCTGGTTATTTGACAGATAAACTTGCGAGTTACCCAGATGATTTATAAATATATCTGGATATAAAATCTTATCCAATATACCCAGGTAAAATTAATTAAATATTTTACTTTAAATCATCAAATTATAGTAAAACTTCTTTTTGAGTCTAGATTCTATAACTTACAAATAAAATATAAGTATATCATCAGGAAACTAAATATGGTGCAGATCTGTGACCCTGAAAATTTTTAATAAATTTCATAATATCTCATAATCTATCAATCAGAATTTAATGAATCCAGTACCATTCGAACTATCTTGATGAGATAGATCGAATAGTACTAAATTTATTAAAATTTGATCACTGGATCACGAGATAATCACATTTAAGTGAATTTTCTAGCCACCTCATGATCTTGTTAACCAGTAGTCAAAATTTAATAATTTTGGCACTATTCGATTTTTCTCGATAAGATAGTTCAAATAGTACCAAAAACATTAAAATCGAATTACTGGTTTGAGAAATATACACAAAATATATTTCACGATGCAGTTTTATACAGATTTGCACAAAAAAATTCACAGATCTGTGCAAAACTGCACTGCAGAATGTATTCTGCGAATATCTCACAAACCAGTGATTCGATTTTAATGTTTTTGGTACCATTCAAACCATCTCATCAAGAAAAATCGAATGGTACCAAAATTATTAAATTTTGACTACTGGTTAACAAGAGCGTGAGATGGCTAGAAAATTCACTTAAATGCGATTATCTTGTGATTCAGTAATCAAATTTTAATAAATTTAGTACTATTTGATCGGTTCCATCAAGACAATTCGAATAGTATCGGATTCATTAAATTCTAATCGATAGATTATGAGATATCATAAAATTTATTAAAAATTTTCAGGGTCGCAGATCTGCACAGATCTGCGGCATATTTATTTTCCTGATAATGGTATTGTAAAATAGAATATATCAAATCTACCTATATTATTTTGCCAAAAACTTTCACTATTTATGAGTTACAAGGTAAAGCTATAATAGCCAAATAGAAAATAAGCAATATTCAATCATTTAAAAGTAATATTAAAATTAGGTTGGTATTTTAAATTTTTAGTTGATAACAATTCAGAATTTATTTAATACCTATATAGCAATGATTTCTAATAAGTATTAAAAAGTATTCAACTTATTATTAGTAATGTTAAACTCTATTAATAGACAAGTTAGTGTTTTATCTATTTACACAGTCAATGAATATTTTGAAAGAAAATATCAATCAATTTAAAATAAAGGGCATAAAGAATAATTAATTGCAAAAAGAGTATATAAATTATTAAAGAATGTCACAGAAAATAAACCAAATGGTTAAAAAAACCCAAATTATTATAATATTGAAATTCAAGTTTATTTGTATTATTCTACTATCTGGGTATTAGCATCTAGATATTTTATCTGGTATTATCTAAATAACTGAGTTCACAACCCAGATATCTGACTATCTGCAAATAACCCAGGTGATACTCTACTCAGGTACTATCACTAAAATCAATTAATCTCGCTATTAAATCAATTTTTTATTTGTTTTATATTAAAATTTTTTGCCTTTAAAGCTTTCTACATACTATCTACTAACAAAATTTAAAGTTTTTTTTTTTTTATAATTTTAAAAATATATCAAGATTTGAAAATCATGTTAAAGAAACTTCTAAAAATGTTTAAACAAAGAAAGCAAATAAGGAAAAAATAGCAATTCTTGAATCTACAAAAAGTTTTAGTCTAAGCAAAAGCTTTTTCAAATGATTTGATAACCTTGAAGTTAATGATAGTAGTGGATCTAATATATATAGCAATGCAAATTCATTCAAATTTATTTAAATTGTTTAAACTTATTCTATTTTATTATTTAATATATTATTAATTTTAAAATATTTAACTATAAGTATATAATAGAATGTTAGCTAGAATTATTAAAAACCAAGGTGAAATTTTTTATAAATTTAAAATAATTAGAGAAAAAGTTAAAAGAATTAAAAAATTATTTAAATGAACTTAACCAAAAAACAGATAATAGCTTCAATAGAAATTCAGAAACTGAAACACCACAGGTGGAGGGACCTGGGACATCTGGGTAAGAAATTACTATAATAGATGGACTAAAAATTTTGTAAAACATAATGTATATAATGTACATTTCCAACAATAAGTAATTAAAAGACAGTATTGTTAAAGAAAAAAAAAGTAGTTCTTAAAACAAATCAAATTAAAACAAAAGCAGAAAAACATATCTAAGAGAATTATCTACAATATTTTGAAAAATTTATAATGAAAGATTAGAATTTCTATTGTATAAATAATATTAATAGATCAGTAAACAATTTTTATTTAATTTATGTTTATATATTTGAACTAATTTAATATAATTTAAAATAATTTGAATTTATTCGAATTATTTTAAATTAAATTGAATTAGTTTGATTTGTTTTTAAATATTTTGAGTTTTATTAAATATATATATTTTTAGCTTTTGTCAAAAATTAGATATTTGCAGAGTACAATGACAAATAAAATAAAGAAACTTTATTTTCTATATATAGAAGTCTTATTGATCTCATAAATAATAAAACAAAACCTAATGAAGTTATAACTTGGAAGGAATTATCAAAAACAAAAAAGTGTTATAAGAAGTTATTTGAAAAGTTAGAAAATGATTTGAGCAATATATATATAATTTAAATTTTGTTTAAAATCTGACCAGATAGCAAAACTTTACATAAAAAATAATATTTGCTATTGTCATCTGTCAAACTACTGTATATTATTGATTAAAAGCAACCTCTGAATAAAAGCAATCCCTTAAAATTTGAAGCCAAAAATTTGACTACAGTTATTATGTTTTACTAATAAAATTTACTCGAATAAAAGCAACTCCTTTATTTTGGCTTGAAAAAGCTCTCTTTTTTTTTGCAATATTTTGGTTGCTTCTATTCGGTAACATAGTATACTTAATCCAAAAAACAAAATTAATTTAATTTTAGAAACTATTATAAAAAAATTAATTGCAATAAATTTAATAAGTATTTATTAATATTTTTATTATATATAGTTTAAACTAATTTAGATTAAATCAAATTATATTAAAATATTTAAAATAAATTAGAGTATAAAGAACTTTTTTCTATTTTGGATTCCAAAGATAAAGCAAGAAATGATTGATAAAAATAAATCTAATAAAAATGATAAAACTATATAAAACAATTTATTTACGTAAATTAATCAATAAGTTTTGTCGTTTATGTATTATCTCAATCAATTTTTTTTTTTTTTTTTTTTGATAGTCTTGCCAGTACTCAATTTATTGCAACTATATTTAGATGAGAGCTGAGCTCTCTTGAACAATACATTTATCATTTATAACCACAAACAGAGAGTTATCGTGATAGCGAGCCTGACATTATCTGGCTGCGATAAACGTGCTCATATGCGACTTGTTGCACCAACCTGTATACAAGTTAGATAAACTTTGTCAGCCCGTTAAAGCTTTTCCCTTCATATCTCCTTTCTTTACCGAGAGCAAAAAAAAGTGATGATCTTATACAAAACCACCAATACTATCAAGAAAACAAAATAAAAACCTAACTAAAAAAAAAAACATATAGAATGAAGAGGTATTTTAAAGGAAAAAAAAGAAGGATACAGTAAGATGTAAAAAAAAGAAAAACAAAAAGAAAAGCCCAAGGGCTGACAAAGGAGAGAACTACCTCTATAAAGAAATAGCATAAGGGGAGCGAGATAAAAAAAACAAACCAAGAAGAAAAAATGCACTATTATAACCCATGCCAGGTTTAAGAAAAAATTTTATAACAACTGCAACATTTGTATATCTCGATTACAATATAAGAACTTAATATCCGACTACTGGCCACCTC